GCCAGAACCAGCACTAGACTAATAACAATCAGAGCAGCAATAATCATTTGCTGAGCAGGCTGGGCACTTCCTGTGTGTTCCCTCATTTCATCCTCCCAACAACAGGATATACTGCTAAGACTGTCATCACCATCCGCATGTCACTGATGGAGAACCCTCAGCCGATTCGAGGTGGGATGGGGCTGCTGCTAGGGAGGTACTCTTCTCAGACCCTTTTTAGAGTTGAAGAAATTATGATACAAAGAGGTCAAGTAACCTGTCCAGCGTGGTACAGCCCACAATGGGTAAAAGGAAGACTTAAACCTAGGGAGACTAGGCCAGAGTACACGCATTTAAAGACCCTAAAGCGTGTGCAGGGAGTAGTGAGTCATTCCATTCCTCTGCAGCAGTAGCTGTAGGAAGAGACCTGAAAGACAACCTACATTCATTCAATAACGTGAAAGAGACACCGAACAGCCAGGCCTGAGACCACCTCCCCAGCGCTTTAGTCTAGAACACGTTTATACACAAAAAAGATTCATTCCTGCTGCGATATGAGCCACTGGGGGGGTTAGGGGGTGATGAGCGTGGATAAGGGGGGAGACTGGAGAAATCTTATCTGAGGCAGAAACATTTAAGGGTTAGCTGAGTGAGGAGAGGGAAGACCAGCATGTCAAGTATCAGGGTCTTGGAAAGAACGTAGCGATTTGAGGAACTGAAAAAAAGTGGAGGGACCAGGGTGCGTGGGTGAGGGAGGCAGGGGGTAGCAAGAGATGGGTCTGAGGAGGAAGGCAGGGGAGAAGATGGGGGGAAAGTGATGGTAGGTCCGGTTGGGGAAGTTCATAAGGTCAGACTAAGGATCCTCCACCAATAGGTCTGGGGGGACCAAACCTTGCCACTAGCAAAACTGCACTGCAGGAAGCTGGTCGGAAGAAGCAGGGCCCTGGGGTATGGAAACAATTAACACAACCCAGGTAAAAGGTAATGAGGACCTTGAGGGAATGGTGGCAGGAGAAGGAATTTAAGACACACAGAGAGAGAGAGGAGACAATAATGCCTAGGGATCAAGGGGGAAAGCTGAGCCACACCTGTGGACAGGGAGCCTGGGGCTGTTTAACCAGCAGGAAGACCTGGGGCCATTCAAATTCTATTTGGGCACGTTGGTGAGGCCGGCTGGAGTGACAGCTACTGGGCATTGCGGAGGGCACCTTGATATGCTTGAAGAAACAAATGCCGACTCTTCCCATTTCACACATTGGAAGGCTGAGGCTCGGTGAGGTGGAGGGACTGGGCCACTCACACACTCTGTCTGGGCCTCTGGGCCAAAGCCCATCTCCCTCCACCACCCCATGCAGCTTCCCTGCAGCTCTCCTTCGGGTTTCAGTCCTTCTCTCACTCACACCCAGTGCTTGTGCTCTGCCACCTGAAGAAACGGACCTTTCAGGGGACCCACCCTGCGCTGGCCCCGCGCTGCTAACACTCGGGCTAAAGGAACTCACAGGTACGTTCTGTCTGACCCATTCGGAGTTTTTCAAAACAGGGGTTTGTTGCTGACGTTTGAAAAGTTTACATACAAATTCAGATATCTGGCTTCTCCTGAAAACCCAGATTATCTGGCGACATCGGGTCCACATTCTCATGTGGCAGCAACTATCCTGAGTTGAGAAGCAGCTGCCCTCTTAAGTGGCCACGAGCTTTCTTGTTCACCATAGTCCCCACCCCAAACATCTAACAACCAAAACAGAAACTAAGATGCGTGACCACTGAGGAAGTCTGTTCCTTTAAAACTGGTAGTCATTTTTATCTTGGGGACGAAAGGGAGGGGTGGGGACTGGGGCTAATTGAAGAGTACACTCTCAGGAGAGCTCTACCTTCCTAGTTTTTGTGGACACGTGAGTCTCGGATCTCTGCGTGAACACTATTGATATTTTATTCTTACTGGAAGGGAGAGGAGCAGAGCTAGTTGTGTACTAATGCTTGGGTCTCATTTTGAGACCACCCAAGTGTAGACCCTTCCTCCATGTCGCAACCACCATATCTCCACCCAGCTCCTGACTTATTCACCTACTGCCACACAGATGCTAAGTTTTAATTCGAAAGGTTGTTCAGTGGGACATCCCAGGGATGTGGGACACAGAAGCGTGTTTGCCCAGAACCGTCTGGGAATAAACACAATCCAAGGGAAAGAGGGCTCCTGCTGAGGCTGGCTCAGGTCTTCAATGAAACGGGGCATTCTTTCTTTGCAGTGTCCTAGCAAAGGAGCCGAGGAGGGAAAACACTGTCACAGAACTTCCTCTCCCTGGCTGAGACTTGGCATGGAACAGAAGAGGAAACAAACCCCTCGCTCCTCTCAAGACAAGCCCAATATGGGGAATGGGCGTCAAGACGTGATGGTGATGGGAGAGGGGAGGAGGGGAGGGCGGAGGGGAGGAGGGGAGGGAGGAGGGGAGAGAGGCCAGTGAAATCAAGGGCTTGTGGCCTGTTTTGAAGGGAAATGGGTGGCTACTATTTCAGGTGTCCTGCGTTCTGACTGTTGAGGTCAGGAAATGCCCAGGATCTCCAAACACTTTCTAATGCTCAGCACCCCAGCCCCCTCTCATTTCCATCTTACTGGGTTCTCTGAAGTCCACAGAGGGCGTGTCAACAACAGACCAGCTCATGCCCACGGGAGAAATAGCCTCGCCTTCCGCCCAGCCTTCGGGAGCCACCCACTGGGCACTCGCAATTTTCTGGAGAGCCCAGCCGCTAAAGGGTTAAGCATGGGGTACATGTGATGAGCAACCACGAACATGTTCCCACGCCTGTAGTTTATAGCCACACAGGGAACAGTAATCAAATAACCACACACATACATGCACACATTACTCTAAACCAGTGGTTCTCCACCTTCTGGCCCTTTAAATACAGTTCCTCATGTGGTGACCCAACCATAAAATTATTTTCGTTGCTACTTCATAACTGTAATGTTGCTACTGTTATGAATCGTCATGTAAATATCTGATATGCAGGATGGTCTTAGGCGACCCCTGTGAAAGGGTCGTTCGACCGCCAAAGGGGTCGCGACCCACAGGTTGAGAACCGCTGCAAATAGAACTATGTCCTCTGAAGGAAAGTCAGTCCTGGGCATGCATGTAATAAGGTTAGCAAGTCATAGTCAAGGAGGCACAGCTTCCCAGGGAAGCAGTTGGCAGGTTGAGGGAGTGGAGCAGGAAAAGCATTTTAGAGGAGGGAACAGCAGGTGTCAAGGAACCAGGGAGCATGGCATGTCCTAGGACCTAGGATCCGGCTCCTGCAGCTGAGACTAGACTGCAAGGGCTGGGCCTGGCCGGCTTATGGCTGTTCTAACCACCCGGACTCCTTATTCTCCGGGACGTCCCCCCAGCTCCCAAAAGTCCTCAGCACACAGGAAGCACGGCATGAATGAATGGAGAAGAACCATGATGAGGACAGGCCTCCGGAGGGCACAGAGGTGAAGGAATGAATGCAAGTCTGTGAATTAAATACACAATAACCAACAAAAAGCTGGAGCCAACTGGCAACGGTGACTTTCACTTCAGTGCTGCCAAACCCTGCAAACGGGATTCTTTCCTCTCCGTCTCGGTTCTGAAGCTTTGAGCTCATTGCTGGTGACCTTGTGGCTCTTCCACACCCAGAGGACACATCCCCTGCATCTGGCACCGCGACAGTGCCTCCAGCTGCAGGGTCCTGCCCAAACAGGAGGGTGCCTCACTGGGCTGCTGTCGTTTCATCCTAAACTCCAGTTTGGTTCCAGTGCAGCCAACTTGAAGGACCTGAAGCAAAGGTGGGTGGGCTCTGGAAAGGGCTGGGAGCCGTGGGAGGCAGGAGCCCACAGCCAGGGGTGGCACAATCCACCAGAGACACTAGCCCATGAGCAAATGAGAAGCTGCCTGGGAGGCCACAGGACCACTGGGTTGTTTCAATCCCTGACAAACCAAAGACAAGATGAGGAAACAAGATGTGTCCTCACCAACCTCTCCAGAGGGCCAGGTCTATGCCTCAGAAATCACACAACAATAAATCAGAATTTTAAAATCATCCTTGGTTATCCCGCTAAGTTCTTGCAAACCATAGCTTGAATTCACGATGCACTCTTGAATTTGTGGAAGAGATTTCATTCCAACCTAGCAACCCCCCTCAGAAGGGCCTCACACAGCAGCTGGCGATCTTTGTCCAGTACAGTTTATGCCGCAGTTCATGACACTCCAGTACCAGCTCTTCAGGGCTTTCCCAGTGCATCTGTAATCAGACCGAAAGGCTACACCAGGATCTGGCCCCTACCGATGGCATCAACCTCATCTCACACCTCCTGCCCCCGCTCCCATTCTGCAGCCAATGCCCACTCGGTTCCTCATCCAGGCCACACACTTCCCAGTCCCTGGAGCATGTTGTCACTTCTCTGTAACGTGCTCATCCATCATCAGGCTCTGTGTGAGCTCCCAAAGGAAAAGACCACACTTGCCTTGATGGCAACGTTTTCCTACCACCAGCACCGGTGTTCAACGTCTGCCAACTGTGGGACGAATAAGTTGTGTGACCTGCAAAATGACTGTCCTGGACTCTTCGACAAGTCAACTCATGAGAGAAAAGAGAAATAAGGCTGGGGAACCGTTCTGGGTTAGAGGACACCGGAGACATTACAAGTTAACGCCATCCGCGCACCTGATTGAACTGGATCAGAAATGAAAACTGGAACCAAAAGATGAAGGGAACCAAAGTTATGCCTTCTGGATTATGATTTTGAGATGGCTATTAAGAAACAAAAGACTCAGCCCTAGCCAGTTTGGCTCAGTGGATGGAGCGTCGGCCTGCGGACCAAAGGGTCCCGGGTTCGATTCCTGTCAAGGGCACGTACCTCGGTTGCAGGCTCCTCCCCAGCCCAGGCTCTGGTCGGGGCACGTGCAGGAGGCAACTAATTGATGTGTTTCTCTCACGTTGATGTTTCTCTCTGTCTTTCCCTCTCTCTACCACTCTCTTTAAAAATCAATGGAAAAGAGTCTCAGCGCGCCTTCCAGCCCCGCCGCTTCCCTGCCATCGGCTCCTCGGACCTCCCGCGCGGCATGGCCCCCAAACGCCAGTCCTCGCTCCCGCCGCCAGCGAAGAAACCCAAAGTGCCTCCAGCCCCCAAGCCGGAGAAGAGGCCGGCCCCTCCGGATGTGCCGAAGGGAGAAAAAGAACAGCAAGAAGCGATTGAACATATTGATGAAGTACAAAATGAAATAGACAGACTTAATGAACAAGCCAGTGAGGAGATTTTGAAAGTAGAACAGAAATATAACAAACTCCGCCAACCATTTTTTCAGAAGAGGTCAGAATTGATCGCCAAAATCCCAAATTTTTGGGTAACAACATTTGTCAACCATCCACAAGTGTCTGCGCTGCTTGGGGAAGAGGATGAAGAGGCGCTGCATTATTTGACAAGAGTTGAAGTGACAGAATTTGAAGATATTAAATCAGGTTACAGAATAGATTTTTATTTTGATGAAAATCCTTACTTCGAAAATAAAGTTCTCTCCAAAGAGTTTCATCTGAACGAGAGTGGTGATCCATCTTCAAAGTCCACTGAAATCAAATGGAAATCTGGAAAGGATTTGACGAAACGTTCAAGTCAAACACAGAATAAAGCCAGCAGGAAGAGACAGCATGAGGAACCAGAAAGCTTCTTTACCTGGTTCACCGATCATTCTGATGCAGGTGCAGATGAGTTGGGAGAAGTCATCAAAGATGACATTTGGCCAAATCCATTACAGTACTACTTGGTTCCTGACATGGATGATGAAGAAGGGGAAGGAGAAGAAGATGATGATGATGATGATGATGAAGAGGAGGAAGGGTTGGAAGATATTGATGAAGAAGGGGATGAGGATGAAGGTGAAGAAGATGAAGATGATGATGAGGGGGAAGAAGGAGAGGAAGATGAAGGAGAAGATGACTAATGAACACTGATGGATTCCAACCTTTTTTAATTTCCTCCAGTCCCTGGGAGCAAGTTGCAGTCTTTTTTCTTTTTCTTTTTTCTCCCCCTCTTGTGCTCAGTCGCCCTGTTTTTGAAGTCTCTTTTCTCTCCTTTACACCATGGTTCTCACCTTATTTGGGGGGGATGTACCTTGAGCAGAATACAGTGGGAAAAGAATCTTTGCCCCTTTCTGTTCCAAATTCATTTTTATCCCTTCCTGTCTCAAGAAAAACTTAATGGAATCAACACCACCGTGCTCTGTGGGAAAAAAGAAAAACCTTCTGCTCCCTTAGCTCTGCTGGGAGCTGGAGGTGGCTAGGCCCCTGTGTAGTAGTGCATAGAATTCTAGCTTTTTTCCTCCTTTCTCTGTATATTGGGCTCAGAGATTACACTGTGTCTCTATGTGAATATGGACAGTTAGCATTTACCAACATGTATCTGTCTACTTTCTCTTGTTTAAAAAAAGAAAAAAAAAATTTTAAAAAAAGGGGGGTTATAGAAGGTCAACAAAGGGTGGGTTTGAGATGTTTGGGTGGGTTAAGTGGGCATTTTGACAACATGGCTTCTCCTTTGGCATGTTTAATTGTGATGTTTAACGGACATCCTTGCAGTCTAAGATGACACTTTTAAAATAAAATTCTCTCCTAATGATGACTTGAGCCCTGCCACTCGATGGGAGAATCAGCAGAACCTGTAGGATCTTATTTGGAATTGACATTTCTCTATTGTAATTTTGTTCTGTTTATTTTTAAATTTTCTTTTTGTTTCACTGGAAAGGAAAGATAATGCTCAGTTTTAAACGTTAAAAGTGTACAAGTTGCTTTGTTACAATAAAACTAAATGTGTACACACACAAAAAAAAATCAATGGAAAAATATCCTCGGGCGAAGATTAAAAATTAAATCTCATCAAACTAATTTTCATTGCTGCATGCTTGTCAGTCTCCATCACTGGATCACACCCTTCATGAGGGCAGGAGCTGGGATGTCAGTGCCAAGCCGGCCCACAGAGGACATGTGATAATCCGCTGAGCTCCACTTCACTGAGACCACTGGCTCAGTCCGGTCCCCACCAGATCTTGGAGACCTGGTGGAGGGCACGCTGGGGGCAGCTCTCCCAAAGCATGGAGACCAGTAGGGGACTGGCGAAGCTTTTCTTCTGCCTGTTGTTTCAGGTGTCCTGTATCGCTTCCCCTTCGGGACAGGAAGTGTCCTGTGTCAGTTTTCTCCTCTTGTTCTGATATCAAAGGCTGGACCAGGGAGTTCCTGAGTGGAGATCAGGGGGTTGGGTCCAGTTACCCACCACCTGCTAGAACAGGAACGAGGCTGCATTGCCAAGTGGGAACAACACACACTTTATTAAATAACAACAACATAATGCACACTGCTCCCTCCACCCGGCCATTTCAGCTCAGGGATCAGTTGAAAGTCTCGTCAGGGTGGGACCCGCAGAACAGGCTTCCCTGGCAGCAGGAGGGGAGAAGATGGACAGGATGCAAATTCTTTGGATTCTGAGGATTTGGCTGGAGTTTTCCACTTATCCTATCCCTTCCCAAGAAGATACTGAAGAAAAAAAAACTGTCCCCTATTGGTCTCCATGATAGAAAGTGCACCCTGTTTGGTGGGAAAACCTGGCTGTAACCGAGCCTGCGAGCTGGGTAGTTACTTAACCTCTCGGGGCCACAGTTCCATTTTCTATGATGGTGGTTGACACCCACCTCGAGGACTAACAGAACTGAAGAAGTGAGCCTAGATAACCAAGTATGTTGACATATTATACCTGGTACCAATTATATAAAACTGTGATAGAATCCGGGAAAACCATTCCCCTGAATGGATCATCAGCAGGAATTGGGAGTGTATAACAGAGCAGGCTTACCGAGGTATAGACTTGACCGGGAGAAGGTACCTGCTAAAAGTTCATAATGGACTCAGTCAAGGATAGAAAACTTGCCGGGGGCCACATGGATACAGAGTAGGAGCAGATGCTGCACCTCTTTCTCATCCACCCTCCACTCCTGGACCCCAGGTTTTCATAAGCGAGCAACTGACATGGTGACATTCTTCCCCCAAACGGTCCCACAAGAATTGAGAAGGCTGATTTTTTTTTTTTTTTTTTTTTTGTCGCTGTCTTTTTTAAATATATATACAGCCCTAGCCTGTTTGGCTCAGTGGATAGAGCATTGGCCCACAAATGGAAGGGTCCCGGGTTCAATTCTGGTCAAAGGCACATACCTGGGTTGCAGGCTCAAGCTGAGGCAACCAATCAATGTGTCTCTTTTACATCATTTCTCTCTGTCTCTCCCCTCCCTTCTTCCAGTGTCTCTAAAAATTAATCAAAAAATATCCTTGGGTGAGGCTTAACAAGAAAATAATAAATATATATATAAGCATACATCCACAATCCAAAAGAATTTACCCTGAAATTCTAAATGTTTCTGTTTAAGAAAATGTTTGCCAACTTGGGGATCTCCTGGTCCTGATACCAAGCCCAGCACTCAGGACACCATCCTCTGGAGGGAGTGGTGGCAGCAGAGCCTGTGCCCAGTACCCAGCGTCCCCGAAAGCCCATCGCCCATGGGACCTGTGCCCCAGGGGGCCTTTCTCCACCAAAGCCTGCCCACACCACCTCCTAACTGGTCTCTAATCCACCCCCTCCTCTCCATGCCAACTGCTACAGCCCTACTTTTGCCGTCATTGTCTCCCACCTGGACTAGAGGCACAGCCTTTTGGCAGTCTTTCTTGCTGTGGCATGCTACTACCCCCCCACCCCAACCCCTACCCCCCAAATCTACTCTCCGCTCTGCTCATCAGACCACAGAACATCCTTCCCAGGATCCTTCAGTGGCCCATGGCCTACAGGCTCCATCCCAGGCTCCCCAGGAAGGCACTCAGCTCAGTGTCGCTCTGCAGCTGCAGCCTCCACACTGTACTTTCCCCTTTTATCTTCAAACTGCTTGTAGGTCCCCCTCACTCTGCACACTGGCTCCCCCTCGCCAGGCCTTTGCTAGCTCTTCCTAGCCCTACAAAGCCCGTCGCGTCTTTGCTAGCTCTCACCCTTCATGATTCGCTCAGGTATCGCTCCCCTAGGATGGTCTCTCTGAAGGCACAGTTTTGGTCACAGCCCGTTCCTCTGATCCCACAGTCTCCACTTTGACCAGTTAACACTGGAATTATGTGTTCATGACTTTGACTTCCCAACTAGATGGTACCTTCCTCCAGGTAATGAGTGGGCTCAATCCTGGACCACTCCCCAGTACCCAGCTCCATCCCTAACATTGTAGATGACCAGTGAGTATTTGCTGGATTGAAATGAACTCCCAGTGCCCAAACAGCACAATGGGCGGCTCAACCAAACACCCCCTGTATCTGAGGAAAGGAAGAAACGGACTCTGGACCTCTATGCGCAGATCGACAGGAGAATCCAAGCATGGCCTATGGAGGGAACGGGAGTTACTCCCAAAGCTGCCTCAGGCCTGGCCAGCTGTCCCAGCCAAGCCATCTCAGGACTGTCCATCGAAATGAGATGTAAACATCTCTCCAGGGCATGTGCGTATGCCAGGGAATGCACAGAGCCGCAGGATACAAAGGAACCCTCTCCTGGAAAATCAGGTTAATACCTTAACACTTCTTTTTAAAATGACCAATGTTTACTGAGTATTTACTATGTCCCAGGCTTTTAATCTTCAAAATGGCCCCATGAGGTGGGTACTATAAATTGCCTCATTTTCAGATGTAGACACTGAGGCCAGAAAAGTTAAATAAGTTACCTAAGGTTATACCAGCAATGAGTGGTCACAGTGGAATTCAGACGTAATTATCTGGCTCCAAGTCTGCTGTAAACCATTACACTACACTGCTTTTCTTAAAACCACCTTATAGCCCGGGCCAGTGTGGCTCAGTTGGTTGGGCATCATCCTGTGCACAAAAGGGCACATGTCAGGGCACATGCCCCGGTTGTGGGCTCAACCCTCCATAGGGAGTGTGCGGTAGGCAGCTGACACTGATGTTTCCTTTTCCTCTTCCTACCTCTCTCTCTCTCTCTAAAAATCAATAAACACCTTAAAAATGAAATAAATTAAATAAGTAAAACCACTTTATAGAAAAAGAGAGAGCTAAGTTACGAAGTTAGTGGCACATTTTATATGCCTTTTTGAATATAAGATACAAGACTTCAACATCTAGGCCTTGCTTACCCCTCTCCGAGCTCATCTCTCCATCTTCTGCTCTCCACTAAAGCTTCTTCTCAGTTCTGGAAGGCGCTAAGCTCATTTCTGCCAAAAATCTCCACGTATGCTGACCCTCTACCAACCCTGCCAGCTCTCCACCAGGCCGGCTCCTTTGAATCTGGGCTCAGCTGTCACCACCTCAGGTCTACCCTGCCTGACCACCTTCTCCAGGTCTCCCCTGGCTTCTCCATCGCAGCACCCACCGTTCCCTCCATGCAGGGTGCTTAGTGGGTGGGCACATGGTGGCTTTCTGCATCTGGACACCGACTCCCCCCCTGCACCAGAAACATCTGAGGGCAGGGACCTTCCGTTTTGTTCACCAGGCCCCGGGCAATGAAGTGTTCAACAAAGGCTAAAGGCTCAGTAGATGATGAACTAATCGGTAGATGATGAATTAATGAATGAACTATTAATCGAAGGAAGAAAGGGCTGAAAGAAGGGAGGAATCGCTGTCTTAGGCTTTTCAATGTATTCACTAAAAGTAGTGGTATACTGGTGAAAACTTTTTAGAACTTCAGGATTAGGAACCTATGTTTTTGGAGAAAGTGACATACAGAGAACTCTAACCAATTCATCTGTTGTGGTGGTTTGAGCAGACGTGAACCTTGCCTTCTAAAAATGCAGTCCTTGGAGAGGATCATGGAACTGCCCAGGCCTCCAAGGACGGCCTTGTGTGGCCGCAAGCAAGTCTGGACAGGCAAGCACCCCTATTCCTGCTTGAAACCTTAGCCCAACTCCACAGGGCTGACAAGGCCTGGAATCCTAGAGTAATTCCCACAATTATTACCCTAAAATACAAGAAACAAACCCCTCAATCTGTGTATCAAGCTCAAGGCTGCAGTTCACTGTGCAAAAGGGAGATCATGGTGCAGAAATCTAAAAGCTGCACGCCCCTAGAGAGGGGGGGGAATCGAAGCTCAAACACAGCTCACCTTTGCAGGACGTAATGTGCACACCTGAAGCGTTTCCACCCAGCCTTAGGAAAACGTTTATAAAGAGCAGCAGAGGGGAAGGGGGCGGGGTGGGAGCATTATTAAAAAGACAAGGAGAGCCACAGGAGAGGAAGTGTCTCTGCTATTACTCCCAGCAGGTCACCATTGTGGAAGAGAAGTAATACCACTTTAAAAGCGACAAACAGGAAGGAAGGGCATGGGGTGGGGGGACGCAGGGAGAGAAAGGAGATCAGAGCCGGTCAAAATATTTTTAAAACAACAGACGTCCTTGTTGGAGCAAAAATTGTTCTGCAGGGAGTCACCTCACAGCAAACTTCTCTCCCTTTGTTTTAGAATTATTTTTTTGGCAGGGAGAGCAGGTCTTCTCTCCCTTTTTCTTCCTCCTGTTTTCTTTTTGGCTCCCTTACCGGGCCTCCTACACCTCCTGGGTTCCAGGAGCATCCTGAGACTATTTACTAACAGGAAGCCAGGCGAGGAGGGGATTGACACAGTCATTAGGTGACATAAGCCTGCTGACAAGCTGCCAACTCAGCCTATTGAAGATATAACTGAAAAGCACGCATTCCACTCAAAGTAGGTCACCTCCGAGTGCTGTGGATGTCAACTGGGAATTCGCCAAAAGGTTACTGGTTTCCCCAGGGGACAAGCGGAGGTCAAGGGGACGAGGG